CAATGTTGTGTTCCAGAAACTTTCAATGTTGTGTGTCCGACACCATAAAGCAAAGCTTTGAAAAGCTCCTATAAAAAAGCATAGTGAATAGGGCGAGGTAGATGACATCTAGATGTCGCCCTATGTACTACGTTTGCTACACCGGAAATAGACGACACGCCATTTCTTTAAATAAAATTAATTGGTGCTCGCTTGTATGTACATACATATGTAAATGCATGTGTGTGCACCTTTCTATTAATATCGTTGAATTATTTTAATATCTATTGCAAAATTTTATTCAGACAGGACTAAAAAGTAGAAAATAAATAATATAAAAAAAACTTTTTAATATACAACGCTTTTATAAATGGACTAAAAAGTAGAAAATAATACTTCTCAGTCCCATAGAATTTGTTTTGATAACTTTTGATTTTGAAATTTTAGCAAAAGTCATTATAAACAATCTATGAAAATGAAAAACGTGGAGCGCATGCAATACAAAGCATTCGATTTAATTGACAATAGTCAAACTACATAACGTAGACCTAAAATTTCTACAGCGAAAGTAGAACTTTGAAATCGATTTTAAGCGGTCGTTATTCATATACCCACATACATACATTCATATATTACTTTTCATATCAATTCAAGTGTATTACATGCGCCCAACGCTTTTCATTTTCAATTTCATAGATTGTTTATAATGACTTTTGCTAAAATTTCAAAATCAAAAGTTATCAAAACAAATTCTATGGGACTGAGAAGTATTATTTTCTACTTTTTAGTCCATTTATAAAAGCGTTGTATATTAAAAAGTTTTTTTTATATTATTTTTTAATACCAACTTACCTTGGATAAAGGGCAACCTACATACCAAATTTCGTTGAGATATCTCTAGTTATCGTGTACACGGACAGACGTGTATATATATTTTTTTGATTTTTTTGGACTTAGCACATTTGCGTACCAATGCATAACAAAAAGTAAAAACGACATTACGGTAATTTTCTTTTTTGGTAATGATGTATTTTCAGTTATGCTATCTTACTGCATCAAAATCTCAACTTACATAAAAAGTGGACTTAGCACGTTTGCGAACTAAGCCAACGTATTGCTTTATTTTTCATTTTTTGTTCTTCATCTCAAATTTCTACTCAAGGCGCAATTATTGCAACAACCTCAATCAACGCAACGGTTTGACATTTTGACGGTTGCTTTTACCGAGGGTGTGCTGTACTTATATTTACTGTTTGTTTGGCTTGTCAAGATATAAGAATAGGTAAACTAATTTAACTTACATAAACTTCAATTTAAACACACATATACACTTCACCACACATAACGCGTGAGTAGTTCAGTTAGACCCAAGACGGCAGAACCACTTCATTCTGGCACTTCACATCGGACGGTCAACTGCACAAAGTTTTTCTTTATACATGCATATGTATGAATGTTTGTAAGCGGTATATGTATGTACATGTGTGTTAGCCATCAACTTGATATATTTTAATGTCGACAACAAATATTACACGATTGCTTCGCTTCTACATTAAGCCCCTAAGGTGCCTGGGCATAATACCCATACTCTACTGTTCGGGGGAAAATAAATATATTTTACGAACAGGATGGAGTTTTTATGCAGCACACTGTAGTTGGCAGCTTTTGTATGTGCTCGCAATTGGAGTGTTAGTGATCAGACGAGATGAGTACTTCAAACAAGAACATTCATATATGGAAGTGAATTACTGGCTCCTGTTTACTTCGACTGCCATGACAGTGCAATTTTTGACAAATACTTGGCTGCTCAATATGAGCCATTCGCATTTTCAAATCATTTCATATTGTGTCCATTTATCGGAACGATTCGATTCCTATGATCGACGAAAAATGTTGATATCGCAGCTGATATTGCCGCTGTCGGTCGTTAGTGCGTGCGCTATTACTCGTATGTGGAATTTTGAACCATGGATCGGACTTCAAATACATTACTTCAAGTCGTCACTCTCGCTGGCGTTTTATAGGTTCATAATTGAAATGGTTTCCAGCCTTTTGAGCTCTGTTAACGCTTCGATGGTAACAGTTCAAGAAAAGTTGTATCGGCATAATCGACTTAGCGATATCGACCTGGAAAATTTGCAAGATTGCCTAGTAGTCTACGATGAACTTTTGTTACTTTGCTCTGAGCACATAAGTACACTATATGGTGTCATTTTGATTTTCGTAACATTTATTTCCACACTCGATATAACATTTTGCGTATATTTAATGACTACTGTCACAGGAGGAAGTTATGTGGAGAGAATAATAACTACTCTTGTGTACATGGTTACAGCATTTCCATCCCTTGTTCTGCTGAACATAACGCTTGTGGGCTGTGATATTGAATACCAGGTGAGCTAATACACAAACACAAAGAACTAGTATTGCTAGAATATCTAAAATTTAACTTACACCCTATTTACATGATTCAAGTACTTGAAAGCAATTCTTGCTCATTCTATTTTGTGTTTTCTATTTGCTTTTACACGTTTCAATTTTGTTGAATTCAAGTTTTTGGTTCTTTAAATGGGAAGCAACGAAAATGCCAAAAGCAAAGCACGAAAGTTGAAACGACTTGACGGTACAGACGCATGTGCACTCGTCACTTTTCTACTCACCCCCTCTCTTCCACATGCGAGGAGAATTGAATTCAATACTTGAACTGTGTAAAAGCAGTCTTAGTTCAACAGTGGTTATAATGCCTTTTTATACCTTTCATGAGCATGAAATAGTATTATAACTTTGGTCCGATGTTTGTAAGTACCAGCATAAGAAGAGATAGACCCATTAAAATGTATACTTAAATGATCAGAACGGCGAGCTGAGTCGACTTAGCCATGTCCGTCTGTCTGTCTGTCCGTCTGTTTGTATGTAATCTAGTGTCTCAGTTTTCGAGATATCCGGATCAAATTTGGTAGGTGGGTGTATTTTTATAAAGTATTAACCATTTGTCGGAACCGGAAGAATCGGACCACTATAACATATAGCTCCCATACAACTGATTGTTCAGACATGAGATTTTTCGTTATAACTTCTCCATTTATGCAGCTAGGAATATGAAATTTTGCATTACTTCTACTTATTATCAACAGAAAACTTAGAGTAAAAATTACAAAGATCGGGTCACTATAACCTATAGCGGTCATACAACTGATTGTTCAGATATAAGATTTTACAACGCTTTTATCAACTTGCAATGTTGTGTTCCAGAAACTTTCAATGTTGTGTTCCAGAAACTTTCAATGTTGTGTGTCCGACACCATAAAGCAAAGCTTTGAAAAGCTCCTATAAAAAAGCATAGTGAATAGGGCGAGGTAGATGACATCTAGATGTCGCCCTATGTACTACGTTTGCTACACCGGAAATAGACGACACGCCATTTCTTTAAATAAAATTAATTGGTGCTCGCTTGTATGTACATACATATGTAAATGCATGTGTGTGCACCTTTCTATTAATATCGTTGAATTATTTTAATATCTATTGCAAAATTTTATTCAGACAGGACTAAAAAGTAGAAAATAAATAATATAAAAAAAACTTTTTAATATACAACGCTTTTATAAATGGACTAAAAAGTAGAAAATAATACTTCTCAGTCCCATAGAATTTGTTTTGATAACTTTTGATTTTGAAATTTTAGCAAAAGTCATTATAAACAATCTATGAAAATGAAAAACGTGGAGCGCATGCAATACAAAGCATTCGATTTAATTGACAATAGTCAAACTACATAACGTAGACCTAAAATTTCTACAGCGAAAGTAGAACTTTGAAATCGATTTTAAGCGGTCGTTATTCATATACCCACATACATACATTCATATATTACTTTTCATATCAATTCAAGTGTATTACATGCGCCCAACGCTTTTCATTTTCAATTTCATAGATTGTTTATAATGACTTTTGCTAAAATTTCAAAATCAAAAGTTATCAAAACAAATTCTATGGGACTGAGAAGTATTATTTTCTACTTTTTAGTCCATTTATAAAAGCGTTGTATATTAAAAAGTTTTTTTTATATTATTTTTTAATACCAACTTACCTTGGATAAAGGGCAACCTACATACCAAATTTCGTTGAGATATCTCTAGTTATCGTGTACACGGACAGACGTGTATATATATTTTTTTGAT